GTTCCCTCCTGTCACTCTTACATGTTAGTAAGAAAAGACTGAGTTTCCCAGGAACACTCCATTTTCTATGGTTTTCCTTCCACAGAAGAGCTGTAACCTAGCAGGGTTCTATGGTTTTCAGAAGAAAAAACATCTTCCCTGTCAAAATCCTTGCAATAACTTTACTACTTAATTTTCAGTCTTTGATGCTGAGTGTTTAAAGCAGAGGTTGCTTTTCAACGTTCTTGAGAGATGAGCTGGAGAAACTTCTTAATGCAGGATTAATTTTATCCATAATACTGTTTCCATTTATATCTGTATCAGTAAAATTGTTTTGTTGTTTGTTTTTTTTCTTGAACATCTGGACAAAATTGGCAACGTAGGATTAAATTAGCCTGTCACATTCCAATATCTATGTAAGTGTTACACATTGCAGGTAGGTTTATAGGGTAAAACAACATTTAAAGCCCCAGAATAAGCTTTAGAAGTGCACCACGCTGTCAAGGAATGCTTTATTTGCAGAATTATTGACAATATTGACTCATTTTCTGGCACAATAAGACTTTTTTGTGTCAGAAATTGCAGGCCTGTTTCCCCCGAGCACATGTAGGTGATGTTGTCCCTAGAAAAGCTCAGAATCTTCATTCCATGCCCTATTTTAGATTATGAAACCACTGCCTATATTTATCTGAAGTCACCCATGACTTGATGTGAGAACTTCTCAGGAAGAGAGAGGGTGGGGGGTGGGTTGAAGTTTTTTTGGGGTTTTAGCACATTTTTGGTTCTTTTACTTTTTAATGAGTTATCTCTGGTTTTTGGCAACATGAAGAAGATGTCAAGGAATTAATGTTGTGGCTTAAGTAGCAGGTGCAGGTGTTCCCTGTGACTATGGTTGCTTTTGGTGCAGGTCTCACATGCAGGTCCCTGGATTTTAGAAAGGTACAGCATTACAGGTGTTGCTTTCTGAGGTTTCTGGTCCCTCCACGTCCTTGCAGGAGGCAGCAGGGTGTGCAGGACACGAGCAGCAGATTTGATTTGAATGGGAAGGGACCTTAAAAGATCATCCCTTGCCACCCTCTGCCATGGGCAGGGACACCTCCCACCAGCCCTGGGCACTGCTTGAACCCTGCTGATCCAGAAGGCAGTGTTTTCCCCAGGTTATTAGCCAGTGTCCATATCCCTGGAGGCTCCTGGATCCTGGGGGGGCACAGGGGGTGCAGAGCAGGCTGGGCTGCAGGGGATGTGTGTGCCCCAGCCCCTGGGCACGTTGCTCTCCCTGTGAGCAGGCTGTGAGGCAGTGCAGTCAGAGGAGGCTTCTCACAGGCTTCCCAGGGCAGCTGGAGCCTGATTTGGATGAAGTTTCCAAAGCGTTGCTCTCACATAAAGAAAATGATTCTCATTTCAGCAGCTTCTGTTTCATTCCGGGCGAGATGTTTTTCCTCTTTATCGTGGTGCTTTAAGGTCTTGTTCTGCAGAGCTGGTTCATTGGGCCAATTTTGAACCTCTGTCCTTGTGTGCCAGTGGGCAGGACGTGCCCATTAGAGAAGATGCAGGTGTCATGCAATGCTGCAGCCAGTTCATTTGTCCTACTTGAAGCTACATCTGCTGCTCTGTGAAACAATCTGCTTCTTCCCTGAGATGTTTCTAATGCATTCATTTCCACGCTGCCCTTTCTGTGGCTCCTTGTGATGTTTCATTTCTTTTTTGCACCCCAGGTCATTTTACATAAGTTTTCTTATTCAAGTGTCAGCAGCCTTGTTATTCATTAACTATTTTTGTATTTCCTCTGAGCCCCATCGATTCTTTAGCAAGTAGTGGCAATAAATTAGTATTGATTCATAATAGCTTGGTTTTAAATGGAGCAGAAGGGAACATAAAGGTTTGCTGGAGGTCCATGCCAATGAGGTCCTTGCTGGAAGGAAAAGCAGAGGTTTGTGCTGGCGTTGCTGGGTGTGATGGGAGCAAAGAAATGAGCGAGCCTGGTTTGTGCAAGGTGCTATGTATTGAAGAGAGGAGCTTTGGGAAAGGAGAACCTGCCTGGGAGTGTTACCAACGTGTGTTAGGAGCCTGTGGAGAGAGAAGAGAGAGCTAGAGGGGGGATGGATGGCAGTGCCCTGCAGAGCTGGGTCAGCCCCACACTGGGGCACCAGGACCCAGGATCCCAAGACCTGGAGAGCCTTGAGGTAAACCTGCCCTGGTGAGGTGAGCATGCCAAAGCCACCAAACACTCCCCACCTCCATGGCCAAGCTTTACTGAAATGTAGAACTAGGGTTTATATTGCTGAAGTTGTTTAATGACAGCAAACTCAAGTGTGAGGTTGAGTCAGATCTTTTTATGCTTCCTGTGCTGGTGATGGCAGGGCTTGAACCAAGGGTGGGAATGGAAATCCCTGTAAGAATTGTAGAGCAAAATAGAAACAAGGTGTTTGGTGAAACCAGGGGTTAGAGAAGCAACCCTTCTAATTTGGTTTGTAACTCCAAGGTGTGTGTGTGCAGGAGAGGCTGTGGTGTTCGTGACCTCAGACCCTAACTGTGCTGATACCCTTTTCCCTCATGTTCAGCTTCACCAGAGGCCCACAGTACAAAGCACCACAAAACACAGATACTGCATTTTTCCAAACACTTCCAGTGCCTTTCCAGGAGGAGGATGAGCTTAATTATAGATAAGGTCTGAGTAGCACAGCTAATAGCAGTACTGCACGTCCTGAAGAGGCAGCAATCACAGACCCCTTCTCCCCCTGGCCTGGAAAAGCTTGCCCAGAAAGCATAACTTACTTTTCTTTTAATAAAGTCTCTTTCCTGAGATGAAGTATGTTTTCAGCTGGGTCTTGTGTAGCACACATGGCTACACTCTCAGTATGTGCAGATGACAAATCCTTTGCAGCAAAGCCCGTGTCACAGCCCCCTGCCTGCCCAGTGGGGTCCCGAGGTGGGACCCCTTGGTGGCTGCTTTGCCTGGTCCCTTTGGGGTGGGCAGGGATGGACACAAGGTGGGGAAACAGCCCTGAGAGGGTCCAGAATGGAAGCACAGGATGTAGGCACCTGGGGCTTTAGGTACTGTAAGTTAAATCAGTGACTGCATGAGTTGTAATTAGAGGAAAATTGCCATTTGCATAGGCCAAGTATTAAATAACTGTAACCCTGATAATTTTCTTCCCCTCAAGAGAGACAAATGAAACTCTGTGGCCACTCTCCTTGGTTGCAGAACAGCTGTTAAATTACATCTGTTTCTTGGGGGAAAAAAAAAAATAATTTAAAAAAAATAATCTTTGAGTCCTTTCAGAATGTTGGAGCCCCTCCCCAGGCAGCTCCCTGAGCATCCTGCAGCCCAGATCTTCTGGCTGCTGCAGATGGAGCCTCCTGCTCCTCACATGTCCTTTCCAGCCCATGTGCCCCATTGCCATGAGCTCAGCTTTCCCTCTTCCATCTCCACCTCAGTCCCCACAGATCCTGTGAGTGCTCTCAGCACCTTTCTTGGCCTTTTGTGGTATATGCTGTGCTTCAGTTAATTACCCAGAATGACATCGTGTCCTAAAGAGCTGGGAACACACACAAGTGTGCTTATCCAAAGTGAGTTAATTTTTTATGAATAGTGATGAGTAGTTTTACTGTTGTTGTGTACTGAATTTCTTTGAGAACTGTTACCACCTTGTGCTTTAGGGCGTGATTGCCCAGCAGAACAGGCTGATGTCCTTGGAGTTTCACCCCTGTGATCATTTCAAAACCAAGATCCCATAAATAATGGAAAGCAGAAGGTGATGGAGATGGAGCATGAATCTCAGCTGTAAATCTGGGAGGGTCTTTCAGCCTATTTCAGCTGCATGCTGGGCAGTTGCTGATTCTTTGCCTGCCAGTGCTGCTGTGTATGGCAGATCTCACCTGAAAGGAGATTGAATGAGGCCACAGAGAATGTGTTTGTTTGTTTGTTTGTTTTTGTTATCTTTCTTAATAACTGAAGTTGGCCAAGCACCTTAAGAGTGGCCTTTCTGTTTCTGTCTGTAGTGCCCACCTCCTTCATGCACGGGGTTGGTGTTGAAAAGGATAGTTTAATATTATTTGAAACTGGGAAAGTCGTGCCCACCTGCAAATGTCAGCTTGATGAGAGGGTGGAGAATGGAAATGGTGTTTCCCTCCTATACTTTCTTCATGTAGGAAGTTCAGAAGTTGAATGTACATTGTCTTCCTTTCTTTGGGAGTAAAACTGTGTGTCTGACATTTCTTCTCACAGTGATGGATTTCTTTCCAAGGAATTATGGGGAGAGCAAATGCACTGCCTGACTAGCTCTCCTAGGTTTTGGCAGCAGTGGATGTTCATTGAATTGAAATACAAACACACTGTGCAGGGGATGTCTAATGGATTTCCCCTCGCCTTGAGCACTAGTCTGTTGTTTTTCTATCTTGGTGGCCTTGTATCTGATGTGTGGCCCCCACCCCCAGTGGCCAGGAGATGCTGCTGGCTCAGCTCTCTGATGCAAAGGTCTGTGGTGGGAGTGGGGCTGCCAGACAGGGTGGCAGTTTACCTGTGACATGATGTGACATCTTGTCCCTTGAGGAGCAATGGGGTTCTCAGGATGAGGAATGGATCCTTTCTGGTGCAGTCACCCAGGGAGTGATCAGTAAACAGCTGTGCCTTGACCAACTGCTCTCAGAACAGAGTGCTGGAGAGCACCAGCAAGATGCTTTGGAAAAGAGGGTTTGTAACAATGCCAGTGGATGTGGGATTCTTTCATGTTTTGGAATGGGAAAAAACCAAGGAATTTGGCAGTCCTGCCTTTTCTGGATGGATAAATTATCTGAAAAGAAAAAAAAGTGATTTTTTGGGTGTTTCTGTTTGCTAAATGAATGATTTACTGCTTGTAAAGATCTGTGGTGAAGCAGCTGCCCGTGCACACGTTGCTGTGCCACGATTCCAGCAAACGGGAGCTGATGAAGGGGAACCCCTGACGCGCGGGGATGGAGCTGTGAGCTCTGCAGCTCCACCAACACCCTGCTTTGATCATCTCTCCTCCTCACCATCCCAGGTGTTGTTAAGGTGGATTACGGCGACGTCTCCGTCCGAAAAGCACTGAGGGAGAACCTGCAGTGCAAACCCTTCTCGTGGTACCTGGAGAACATCTACCCCGACTCCCAGATCCCCCGGCGCTATTACTCACTGGGCGAGGTAGGAACCTTTTCCCTGGGCTCTGGGAAGGGGATGGTGGGGCTGTGGGAACAGAGGCCTTGCTGGGAGGATGGCTCTGGAGGGAGGAATAAAGTGCTCCTGGGCCTCCTCTTAGTTATCCTTTATTTTGAGCAGGTTCTGGTTCCTCAAGCTCTTCCCTAAGGCAGCGTCGCTATTCTGAGCACCAATGTTCCCCATTAAACATTTATCCTTTAAACTGAGTGGTCTTGGAAGCCTGAGGTTTGTGGCCAATACTTTGAAATGATTAAATAAAATGAAAGAAACTTTCCATCATCTCCTACCACCTTCCTGTAGAGCAGAACAAGCTTTTTCTCTTTGCCTTTCCCTTTGAAAGGAATGTGTTTGCTCCTTGGTGCTGTGTTTTCCAAGGAGGCTGCCTGGAGCCCGGGATCACAGACATCCCTAATGATCTGAAGGTCCCAGCAGCACCAGGAACTGAAAACCTCTTTAACACACTGCTAATTCACTGGTAAAAATACTCTCTTGAGCTGTGCTGAAGCTGACTCTTCAAAGCTCCCAACTGGTCTGATTTAAAGGTGGCTGCAGATAGAGCAGCAATCAAAAGACCAAATGGCTGCTTTTTTTTGACATCCAGGAAAGTCATTTACTATTGAAACTTGCAATTGTGGTGAAAAATAAAAGCCACAGTAGGGCCTCCAGTTTAACTGTGACAAAATCAAGTGAAACATGGCTCTACAGCAAGGGAAGGACTCATCTGACAAGTGTCAAATAATAAGGTTTTGTACCATATTGTCGGACTGGAAAATAATAGTATGAGAAAGTAATAAAATAGTTATTAAAACACCTTATTTTTACCAACACTGCCTCAGTTTCTATGGAAACAGCAATTCAGGCAGGGTCCATGAATTAAAAACTCATGCTCTGCTATTACAGCTGCTGCCTGCCAGTTGAGCAGGAAAGTGGATTTTTAGACCCAAAGCTCAGGTACCATCAGCAGCAGTAATGGACAATTTCTAAAACATCTGAAGTGCATTTCTCAGGCGTGTTCCTCTCTCCCAGCAGAGATGTGGCCCCAGGCAGGACAAACCCTCTGACTCATCAGTGCAGCTGGGACCATTAGTCCCTACATGGTGCCCCCCCTTTGGAGGGGCCTGGGGGTTTTGCTGCCTGCTAAGAACCAGCTTGGAGAGCAAACCTGAGCAAATTCCTCTCTAATCAAGGCAGCCTGGAACCTGATGCTCTTTAAGGTCCCTCTCAACCTTAAGCATTCTGTGATTCTAACTGTTCATCGTCAGGCCTTGAAATATGTTGTTCTTTTGTAGTATAAACTGTTCATTTTGTCAGATTTGGGATAATCATCCTTAATTTAGGTGCAGGTGTGACCTGAACTCGGCCAATGCTCGTGCCTGGTTCCCTTGCACCACTCAGAGTGTTAGAAATAATGACCAGTGTTGTCATACATTTTAATTGGCTCTTTATTTGGCTGTGGCACAGCTGATTGATGAACATCTATCTGTTGCTTTTATAAATGAAGTCTGCAGTTTTTAAATGAAGCTTCAAGAAGGGGAGTTGTGTGGAGCTGAACTGCCAGGGCTGTGGTTGTGACTCCTGGGAGGCAAGGACAGGGCCTGGCCTGGGCAGCCCTTGGGTTTGCACAGTTTAGAAGTCCCAGTATATTGTATTGTCTAAACAAACCAGCACAGGGCACTGGATGAGACTGTCCTTGAATGCTGTGCTGCTTAAATGTCACTTTAAAATCTCATTATACCCCCCCTGTTACAAGGGTCTGAAAGGAGGTTGTGGGGAGGTGGGAGTTGGGCTCTTCTCCCAAGTAAATAATGGCAGGACCTGAGGACATGGCCTGAAGTTGCCCCAGGGGAGGTTCAGATTGGGTATTTGGAAGAATTTATACATTGGAAGAGTGGTCAGGCCCTGGAACAGCTGCCCAAGGGAGGTGGTGGAGGCACCATCCCTGGAGGTGCTCAAGAAACGTGTGGATGTGGCACTTCAGGGCCTGCTCTGGTGGCCAAGGTGGTGGGGGGTTCTTTCTGGGTGTTTTTGGTGAGGGGTGTGTGGTTGGCTGTGTTTGTTTGGAGGGGGTGTTTGTGCTGATGTGTTTGGACTCAGTGATCTCAGAGGTCCCTTCCAACCACGACGGTTCTGTGCGTCTCAGTATTTACCCGAGAGGTTTGCGAAGCGCAGGTCGGCACACGTCCGGGTGTGTTCAGGGTGCAGGGATGATGTGCTTCCTCCTGCAGGGAGGTGATTGCTCTGCACAAACACGAGATTTCAGGCGTTGTGTTGCAGTTCTTTGTTTTTTTTTTCAAGGAACGTTTGGTCTCTTTCCTTCCTCAGATCAGGAACGTTGAAACCAACCAGTGTTTAGACAACATGGGCCGCAAGGAGAATGAGAAAGTGGGCATCTTCAACTGCCATGGCATGGGGGGAAATCAGGTAAGAGAAGAAAACCCACCACAACAGGGTTATTACTTGTACAAGAACTGCCTCGGGCTGATGCTGGGTAGAGCAGATTCAGGAGAACCTGATGGGAATTCACCCAGAGCTGTGGATTCCTGGGCAGCCGTGGCTGCCCCCACCAGCCTTTCTGTGCAAGAGGGGGCAGTTTTGGGGGCCTGGGGGGTTGGATGCAGCAGGTACAGCCCGGGGGAGGTGGCAGGGGGGTCCTGGGGACCCTCTGGTTTGATCCTGGTGGCCACAGGATTCCCTCTGTGGTCCTCAGCTATGGCAGCTCAAGCACAGACACGTTGGTTCACTGTAAAACAAGCAGCAGTAAGGGAAGATATGAATGTAAGTTGCAAAACGTTGGAGGTTTTGAGCTGAAAGAGTTTTAGGAGGACTCAAAAAAATCCATTTTCTCAGCTGCAAATTTTGAAAGCAGATCAGGTAGGTCCAGTGAAATATCCAGCTGGATATATTAATTGTATTCCTACTGCTTAGACTGCAGAGAAATACATTTAAGGCTTTAGATGCTCATGTTACAGAATGTGTTCATGAATTTTAATATATTTTTTTTTGGTGTTGGGAGAAGAAAAATCTTTTTTTAAAAGAGAAGGGTAAGAATCTGTGGGACTCGTGGCTGAATTAATCTGTTTCTAAAATGTGTATATTAAACATATGCAGTGTATTCATTCAAATTGAGGGTTTTTTCATGGAAATAGGAAGGGTGGTGGCAGGGAAAGTGTCCCTTGTGCCTGGCTGTGTGTGACAGGGAGTAACAAGGTCCATGGCAATCATTGTCTCTGCCTGCTCACTCTATAAACACCAGTAAGTTTTTCCTGTCCTGATACCTCAGATTCAAATCAGCAGAGCTGGTTCCTTGGGGTTGGGTTGGGTTCTGCAAGGTCAACCTGCAATTCAGGGACTTTTCCCCAGGGAGGCTGTGGTGTGTGGCATCAGGATGGGAAATAGGGTCTCCCAGCTCCTGCCCACCATGCACAGGGGGAAAAGGCAGGATGCTTCTGCTCCATCTCAATTCTCCCTGTCACTGATTTGACCTGGAAATTGGTCAGAACTTGGTGCAATCTCCTCCTTTTTCTTGCACCTTTCTGAAGGTAGTTTAGCCACATTTCTCTACTTGGTCTGCTTTACTTTTGGAGAAGCTTTCTCCCCTTCTTCCCCTTGATTCATAGAATCATGGAAGGGTTTTGGTTGGAAAAGCCCTTTAAGATCACCAAGTCCACCCATTCCCCCAGCCCTGCCCAGGCCACCCCTGCCCCATGTCCCTCAGCACCATCTCCAGGGCTTGGAAACCCCTCCAGGGATGGGGACCCTGCCCTGGGCATCCTGGGCCAGGGCCTGACAGCCCTTGCCAGGAAGAAATTGTTCCCAATATCCCATCTAAACCTCCCCTGGCACAACCTGAGGCCATTTCCTGGTTCTGACAGCTCTCTCAAAGACCCCAGGTCTCATGGTTCAGCTCGTGACACACCTTGGAGCAGAGGGCTGCTGTTGCCTTCATCTGCTGCAATTAAACTCCCAAGAGTTCCCCCAGTAGAACCTTGGCCTAGTACTGGCATTTCTCCCCAGGGAAGGTCTTTGGACCATGTACCTGCTGGGTAATGCTTGCTGAGGGTGGCTTTTTCTAGTGCCACCTCTGCTAGAAACCATGGGAAGATGCAGGATCTTAGAGCAAGCTCCTGCTTTCTTGCTGAGGTGAGAAAGGCTGGCTGTTGTGTTTGTCCCACACTTCACTGTCTTTCTAAACTGGGAATGCAGGTGTTAGCACACTGGTGAGGCTGCCTGTGACCATGCTTGAAGATTCCCTTCACACCTTGGGTGTTTGGTGTGTTTCCCTTTCTTCCTGTATGTACTGAGAAGAACCCCCCCCTTTTTGTTAAGAGAAAAGCCATAGAATCCCAGACTGGTTTGGGTTGGAAGGGACCTTAAAGCTCATCCAGTCCCAACCCCTACCATGGGCAGGGACACCTCCCACCAGCCCAGGCTGCTCCAAGCCCCATCCAACCTGCCCTTCAACACTGCCAGGGATGGGGCAGCCACAATGGGAAATAGGGTCTCCCAGCTCCTGCCCACCATGCACAGGGGGAAAAGGCAGGATGCTTCTGCTCCATCTCAATTCTCCCTGTCACTGATTTGACCTGGAAATTGGTCAGAACTTGGTGCAATCTCCTCCTTTTTCTTGCACCTTTCTGAAGGTAGTTTAGCCACATTTCTCTACTTGGTCTGCTTTACTTTTGGAGAAGCTTTCTCCCCTTCTTCCCCTTGATTCATAGAATCATGGAAGGGTTTTGGTTGGAAAAGCCCTTTAAGATCACCAAGTCCACCCATTCCCCCAGCCCTGCCCAGGCCACCCCTGCCCCATGTCCCTCAGCACCATCTCCAGGGCTTGGAAACCCCTCCAGGGATGGGGACCCTGCCCTGGGCATCCTGGGCCAGGGCCTGACAGCCCTTGCCAGGAAGAAATTGTTCCCAATATCCCATCTAAACCTCCCCTGGCACAACCTGAGGCCATTTCCTGGTTCTGACAGCTCTCTCAAAGACCCCAGGTCTCATGGTTCAGCTCGTGACACACCTTGGAGCAGAGGGCTGCTGTTGCCTTCATCTGCTGCAATTAAAATCCCAAGAGTTCCCCCAGTAGAACCTTGGCCTAGTACTGGCATTTCTCCCCAGGGAAGGTCTTTGGACCATGTACCTGCTGGGTAATGCTTGCTGAGGGTGGCTTTTTCTAGTGCCACCTCTGCTAGAAACCATGGGAAGATGCAGGATCTTAGAGCAAGCTCCTGCTTTCTTGCTGAGGTGAGAAAGGCTGGCTGTTGTGTTTGTCCCACACTTCACTGTCTTTCTAAACTGGGGATGCAGGTGTTAGCACACTGGTGAGGCTGCCTGTGACCATGCTTGAAGATTCCCTTCACACCTTGGGTGTTTGGTGTGTTTCCCTTTCTTCCTGTATGTACTGAGAAGAACCCCCCCCTTTTTGTTAAGAGAAAAGCCATAGAATCCCAGACTGGTTTGGGTTGGAAGGGACCTTAAAGCTCATCCAGTCCCAACCCCTACCATGGGCAGGGACACCTCCCACCAGCCCAGGCTGCTCCAAGCCCCATCCAACCTGCCCTTCAACACTGCCAGGGATGGGGCAGCCACAGCTTCCCTGGGCAACCTGGGCCAGGCTCTCACCACCCTCACAGCAAAGAATTTCTTCCTAAATCTCCCCTTTGTCAGCTTGAAACCATTGACCACCTCCCCCCCCGCATTGTGATACACCTTGTAAGAAGTCCCTGTTCAGCTTTTCTAGATGACTGTCATGTCTTCAAACCTTCTGAAGAACCAGGTGTGAGGTTGGGAGGACTGTAAAGCTTTGAGGTAAAGACAGATGGAATCTGAGTGTGTATATATATATATTTATATATGGATACGGACCGTATAGCCTATAGAAATCTGAATAACTACTAAATGCAGCCATTCTTTCTGAGCCCTCTGAAGCCAGTATATCTCAAACCTAAAGACATTTTGGCTTCAGTCTCCTTTGTGTTTCTCACACAGACAGTGTGTTGTGTGTTCCTGCAGGGCAGAGGGACTCTGCTCCCTGCCTGGGCATGAGCAAGGAGCAGTAGCTGCTGTCCTTGGTGGAGCTTTGGCTGGAATCCTGCAGGCAGAGCATTATTCACCCTCTAGTGCTCATAACTCCCATTAGCAGTTATCTTTATTAAATTCTCTTTAATGAGAAATTAGAACTGAGCTCAGACTTGCAAATGCTGGGGGCGGGAGGAGCTGTGTGGTTGCAGAAATAGCTGAGGAGCAAAGCTACTTCAGAATGAGAACGAAGCAGGAGTAGTAGTGCCTGGGTCGTTAGAGCTGAGCAAGATGCAGGGCAGTGATCCAGCCTGGGGCAGGGGCAAATACCTCACAGCCACCTGAGTGATTTGAAGGAATTCAGGACAGCAAGATTTGAAAAAGAGGCATTTCTTAAAAAGAAAAATGAAGTGCATTAACTGAAGCCCTTCATGGGAGAATTGTTTTCATAGAGCAAAGCTGGGGAGGTTTGTTGTTATGTTGGCACAGGTATTTCAGATCATCCTGTGTCTGTTAGGACCTGGTGACCATCAGTGATCTTTGAAATAAATACCATGGTTCTCCTCATGCGTTTGAGAGCAACTGTAGAACTGTTTTCTTTGCTCTCTGTGGAGGGGAACAAAACCTGCAGAGCCTGTCCTCAGCTCAGCCGTGGTGGGGACGTGGCTTCAGGGGCTGGTTTGTGCAGGTGTCTCCTGGGGGGTTTGGGGGGCATCAACCTACTTCTGGAATGATGTTTTTCAGGAGGGAGGTACCCGAGGTTGATTAAAGAAAGCACTGACCACACATGAATTGTGAGGAAAAGCAATTCTCCTGCTTTCCAGCCTCAGACAGAGGGACATGATCCATCAGTCTCACACCTTTTCCCCCCCCCTTGCCCCCCACCCCC